AAAAAGGGGGAAGGCCACCAAACACTGAAGCTCCTTTCTCATTTAGCCATCATCAGGAACAGCGATTCAGAACCAGGAATTGTTGTCACTGCACAGGCCCTGTTTTTAAAACGAGCCCGACATTCAGGGCTGCTGAAACTTGGTTTTTTCACCACGATAATTTGTGAAGAACCCCAGTAAAAACTTACTAAAGGTATTGAGAATGGGCACAAAATACATTCAGATATGCTGAGTTAACAACCCTGAATATGGATAAGTCCTTAAGTACTACAGTCCGTAAGCTGCTGACTGATTTTATAATGTGTATTCCCCTACTAAACGAGACTACAGTTTTTACAAGAACCAGAATGACCTTTTGCTAAGATCTAACCCACAGACATAAACAATCCTAAAAATAATGCCTTTTATTAATTTACCAGGGGGGGGGGGGGTTAGGCCTGCATAAAACATAGCTGCCCTTCAAATTCTTTCCAGCTGCTTCCAGCAACTGTGCAGCCAAAACATTACGGTGCTGTAATGGTATTAGAGATGCTAATTTGATGTGTACAGTACATATCCAGATATTAGTTTCTAGTGCGGCACAAGTGTTATATTTCAAATCCCATTCCCTTGCCTCTGACAAGCCCCCCATTATGTAATCCTGTTTTGATACAAGCTCGACTCTTGTCTCCCAGAAATGATAAACACCCCCCCCTCCACCATCGTCCAGCATTCTGATGAACTGCAGCCGTTGCTGAATTGCAGATACTGCTTCCTCCAATCGGTGTTATCATTCTGATAAAAACCACAATAATAGCTCACCCGAGAAGTACAGCGTCATAAATGGGCAGCGCTGTATCAGAGCAACTGAAATAAAAGACCTGGAACAGGAACCATCAGTCCGGAAAAAATAAAGAAAAATAAAAACGCATGAAACAGAAGCATCGGAGAGCGTCTGACTATACTTGTTGTAAGGAAACATCCACATGAAATACAGCACAGCAATGGTCAAAGTAAGAAAAAGGATGTTTCTGTAAATATGTTCCCCACCTTTCCTGACAGCTCGCTTCCAGTCATTCTGAATGCTGTCTTTTTTCCCCCACTCTCTCTCTCTCTCTCTCCACAGCGCCTTTAACAAGCAAACAGTGTGAAGGAACAATGTCCTGGCATTCCAGGGATACGAATCTCTCCTGCCTGGCGTGCTCCTGAGCAGTGAGGCTGTGCGTCCTCTTCTGGGAGCTTAATTTACATTTCAATGGAGGCCCAGAGAATCGCCGGCTTCCACCCCCCCCGTAAAAGGCAAGCTGCATCTCCAAAGCAAACCGCCTCCCCTCTCTCTCCGTCTCCCTCCTGCTCATTCGCTCTCCCAGTGTGTCGGTCTGAGGGAGCCGTCTTCCCTCCCTGCCCGGGTGTTTTACTTCAGTAGTTCCGTACAATGCGCCCTGTGCCGAGCACGGAGTCTGCCAGACGCCCCTGGGTTTCATCCGCCTTGGCAAAACAGCGACAGCCGCCGCCACTCCCCACCCACGCTCCCCACACCCACAATCCCTTCGCCCCGTCCAGATGGGAAGCCATGGGATCAGGGCACCCGGCTCCCCTTGCCTCCCAGCTCGATTTCAGCACTACGGGAGACGGGGTGGGGCGCAGGCTGAAGGGAAAAATTACACTGAAAGAAGCGGGGATCTTGAGGTGCCACTGAGCTCCCTGAAATAAAAGTCAGACCTACACGAACCAGAATAGGGAGGAATTCATGGTAAAAGAACGATCTGGGTTCACCTGTGATAGGCGTTGCCTCACTTGTAAAGTATGCTTATACTTAGAGGGTCGATATCACGTCTGAATGCTGAGATCATGCTAGTCTCACCGACTGTATAACCTTACCTAAAACCAAGCGCATGAACTACAGCACCGCAGCGTTTAAAGGGGAACTGCAAGGCGATTTTTATATTTCGGGGCGAGAAAGAATCAGAACTGACGGGTGCATTTCAAAGCACAACGGAAGTCAAATGTACACGGTGATGTGTAAAACCTCCCATTTACATCACAAAATAGATGAAATTCCCAGGTATGCGCAGTGCAACATTGCTGTCGTTGGGTTTCAGAATGAGGCAACAAGACTTCCAGTGATGTGAACCAGCCCTGTTACATTGTGCACAAACAGGCTTGTGAATACATCTGTTTTAATCCAATACAAATATTGATTTTAGTTGTAAAACAACATTTATTGCACTTCTTAACTTAGGCCTTAAACATAATTATGATAAAAAGGATGACCTAAATTGTGACGGCAGATTTTTTTTTTCTATTTTTCTATGAAGCTCTGATATCACCCTCTCAATCCATTCTCTATTCATCGTTTACTTTGTATGAACAAAAATGGGAGGAATGACACCTCAGCACATGTTTTGGTTCCGTGTCTGAAATATTTCCTATTACAAACTGCCAGGCTTCATAATCATGTAAACGTCAAGGCAGAGGACATTTCAATACACGTGTCCTATCCCAAACTAACAATATTTGAAAACAGTCTATTTCTGTTGCAATTAAGCACGTTTTAGACCGAGCAAATTTTGCTACCATATTAATTTAGATATGATGTTATGAAACCAATACATCCAAGGTGACGTTTGTTAGATAATTTCGACTGCAGATTTGAATGAGTGCAACTGAACTGAATTTAACCTATCGACTTCCAGATGGTTTTGCTGACAAATACTACTTACTTGTTAACTCTGCATGCAGATCACGTTGGAACATTTCTGTGAAGAAATGTCTGCTGCACAACCTGTACTGATTTGCTCGTACATCACAGTACCTTAGTCATTACAGTGACTATTGAGCAGGAAGGGCTGGTTTAACATCACAATTCTCGCAAAACTCTCACTCATGCCTGTGGCGAGACCAGCGGTTTGCGACAACATGGCAACCATACAGTACTTTCACAAAGTTCACAATTCAGAACCT